ATTTTATTTTAAATCTCCTGATATCCTGTGCTTGATAGTCATGTTTAAAATCAGTGACATTGATTTATCATCCAGGAATAGAGCATTTTAAATCTCCTGGTTCTATAGACCCGGCAGCCATACTGTTGGGGCTAACCGTATTGGTATTAAAGATATCTAATGCTTGGGGGCACTGACACATCCCAGTGCTGTAATGTAACAAATGACTATTAACGATTAATTGTTCCTGTGTTCTCATGTGTACAGTCCATCATGGTTAACAGGACTCTTATTTCTGTTTAAGTGAAAAGGTAGTAACTAATTTTCATTGTTCTTATTACAACATATGAATTTTGTTGATATCACAGGTTCCAAGTGAAACAGTTCAGCGTTCTGTTCGTTTGCTCGTGCAGCCATTGCAACCAAACAATGCCAAGACAGATATCATGTCTTGCGAGAAATTGAATACTTGGTGGCATCTTGTTCAGCGTCTTGAACATTGCATTGAAAACCATCTGAAAACTGTTCTTGTGCCTTTCTTTCTGTACTGCTTTGGTTCTGCCAAGACAAAGGAAATTCCACCAGGCAAGAAGTATCCATGCTTACACATACCGTGTGCCAAGGCCCTGGCAAATATCCTGACCAATGATCCTGCTGCTGAGCAGGAGACTTTTGACAGACAGATGTAAGTACAGCTATTCTGTCTTCATAGTTCAGACCAACAGTCCACAAGCAAAATTTTACTGAGGTTGGATTCATTGTCACATTCAATTTTAACTTTCTTCCAAGCTGAGTTGTATAAAGTTCGGTCCAATGAAAACTGCATGAGCATTTTTGTGGGCAGAGGAATACAGCTATTAAAAATAGTCCCAATGGGCACTGAGGCAGACATCCCATTGATGCACCAACCAGTGGATGTCCTCTTCATAGACCTCCATGGAGTGCTTAATGGCAATGGCTTTGATGTCTTTGTCTGACCTGAATCTGTGGTTCTTTAGTGCTTTCTCGAGAGGTCAAAGGGGGAGAGAGGTGTTGGTTAGTGAACTAGTTGTTTAGTTTAAAAAATATATCAGTTTTTTAACTGGATTTAAATGCAAACAATAATTATTAGCATCATGAAAAATATGACTTTGTTTTAGCTCTTTACCTAATCCACATAAAAGAGTGATGCATATTTCTATCAGTGAAGTTTTGTCTGGCTAGTGGTGTTTAAATTTTAAATGATATTTTATTACATTCTGCTATGTTGGAATGGCTAGAGGTCCTCATATTTTACAGTGTTCTCTGTTAGAAGGCGCTAGAAGTTGAAATACTTGTAACATCAGAAATTTAAGTTCCTATGAATGGTATTTATGTTTGTATAGGAGTGATGAGAGTGTGGAAGAATGCATTATCCATCCCTGTAAAGTTGCTCTGCTGAACAAGCCCGCAGTGTTCCTGGATGTATCAGAGGAGTTGTTATACTCTGTTGGAGAATGTGTCATAATTCTTTGTGGCAGAAGTGAAGTGGAGACATGCTCACAACTTATGCATTCAATCTGGAATTCTTTGCTGAGACATGTTGCAGTGAGTATAACTTGGATTACAGACTACTACTTGCACATGAAGAAAGCCTTGCTGCAACTCGGGTAGTCGCTGACTTCTTACTGCGGAGGCCCACGGTAGTCAGTATGGGATCTTTCTGAGGACATAATGGCATGGGGCATGTATTTCTCTTGTTTCCTCCATGCCAGTTGTTATTCTTTCAGTGATTATGCAGTTTCCTCCATTTTTTCAGTTAAAGGTTTGAAGTTTCATTAATTTGAAATGTGTATATACATAAGAATTTTAAACAAGTATGCTTCACTGTGTATGTGTACAAGGTGTGGCAATAAAGAAACCGGATTACTTTTATGACTCATTTCCGGCCACGTCATTGACGAAGAGGAGGGTAGGGCATTGACCCTTGGACTTCCCTCTACCGTCACACAAAGTTTCATTCACGTGCATCGGTTAGTCTGGCCGCGACCATTGTTAGAAGCGGATCGTGTTTCTGAGCTCCGTCGGAATAATGCTGAGTGCTAATGCAGAACAACGTGCTAACATCAAATTCCTCACAAAACTTGGAAAATCTGCCACTGAAACTTACAATTTGTTGACAGAAGTATATGGTGATCAGTGTCTATCTCGCACGCAAGTTTTCGAGTGGTTTAAGAAGTTTATGGAGGGTAGGAAAAACGTCGGGAACGATCCAAAATCGGGCCGTCCTCCCACTGCGAAAACTCCAGAGAATGTGGAGAAGGTCGCTAGAATTGTTCGAAGAGATCGTCGACTGAGCATTCGAGCAATTTCTGAACTTACGAACATCAATAAGGAAAGTGTTAGACAGATTTTGCACGACGATCTGGGCATGAAAAAGGTGTGTGCTAAAGTGGTGCCAAAAATCCTTACCCCCCAGCAAAAGGAACATCGAGTGAATTGCTGTGTTGACACTCTTGAAAACATTGAAAATGATCCTGATTTCTTCCAAAACGTAATTACGTGTGACGAAACTTGGATTCTTCAATATGATCCAGAGACTAAGCGACAATCCATGCATTGGAAGAGCCCCAAATCCCCTAGGAAGAAGAAAGCGCGCATGAGCAAGTCCAAATTCAAAGCAATGATGATTGTTTTTTTCGATATCCGGGGGGTAATCTACATTGATTGGGTGCCTGAAGGTCAGACTGTCAATCAGGTTTATTATAAAAATGTTTTGACGTACCTCCGTGAACGTGTGCGACGAAGGAGACCAGACATGTGGAAGAATGCCTCATGGGTTCTTCATCACGACAACGCGCCAGCACACAACGCGCTATCTGTGAAGAGGTATTTGGCAAAAAACAACATTCCAGTGATGGAACATCCACCGTATTCTCCGGACCTAGCACCGTGCGACTTTTTTCTCTTCCCAAAAATCAAGTCTGCGCTGAAAGGGACCAGGTTCGAGTCCGTGGATGCAGTGAAAGCAAAAGCGACGCAACTCTTGAAGAGCATAACACAAGATGACCTGCAGCACTGCTTCCAACAGTGGAAAATTCGCATGGAGCGGTGTAGGGATCGGGGAGGGGACTACATTGAAGGGGATAACATTTCGACTGTCTGATTTTTTTTTAATAAAGGGTTAGAGCATGAATCCGGTTTCTTTATTGCCACACCTTGTATATAAAATTTTACAACCAGGAGATACTCAGTTTGAATTTGTGAAGTTACTGCAGTGAAACCTTGATATAATGAAATTTATAAAAAAATTCTTGTTATAATGAACACTTGTAATAACTGAAAATGATTGGAAAACATAATCTTCAAGCCAGTCTTATAAATACATGTATGGCACTGAGATTCAAGAAAATAATGCAGGCAGCACATTGTTTGTTTTCTTTGACTTATTTGCAAACAAAACCTGCAAAAATTCCTGTATTAGCTTTGCCATGTTTTATTTATCCATTTATGTAAGGAATGGAGAACTGGTAAACAGATTGTCATGAAATTTGGTATTGGAGAGTCTTACTGAAATGTCTCATTTTCAGGTTTGGTTAAAATCTGACAGTGATGACACTGCCAAAATACATACCTACATGAATTTCATGCAGAGCCTAGTGAAATTGCCACATTTTAATCAGAACAAAAATTGTTTTGATCAGAAGTTACCACTTCACAAAATAATGACAAAATGGATTTTATGCCACGTACAGGCAGTAATAGAGCAAACATGTCAGAATTGTTATGTTACGATCATGCCCTAAGTTGCTTGAAGTGCTTATCATATAGACATGAAAGAAATGAAGAATAATTCAAAAGTGTTTGTGTCTTTTGTAATATCTGAACCAAGAAGTTTTTATCATGCTTGTGTAATCTCTTATGCTCGCAACCACTTAGCAATGTTTTTCAGTCACGAATCAGATTGGTTGTGCTGAGCACTACTGCCTGAGAGTGGCATAAAATGTCATGTATATAGTTCTAAGATTTTTGTTGTGTCCCAAACAAGGGACAGTCACAGGGTGTGATGTAGCGGTACCTGTATGGACTACCATCTCTGAGTAGCTTGGGAGTGAACGTGCAGTTATAATTCATGGACAGAGTTGTGAACAAGATTGCTAGGAATAGCTCATTGTGATGAAAGTACCATTAAAACCCTTCATTTTATATGAGGTTTTTTCTGTATACATTGAAACTTCTCCATGAAGACAACTGGCAGTTCTACCCATAAGTGGTCTTTAACCCTTACGCTGCTGCAGTCGACATATGTCGATCTCTGAAAAACATGGTGTCCTTGCTGCGATCGACAAAACCCGTATTGCGACTTTAGAGTTTCAAATCTCATTCACACTTGGCGGGTGCATGGTGTCTTCTATTGGGAATGTAGTGAAGCATCATTCATTTCAGTGGCTGCATTCTTTTGCCTTCTAGCTTAAGAAATGTAAAAGGTTGCATCTGCATAGTGAGGCTTGCGCTCCATTGAAATTAAATGGGACACATCAGCTGCTGGTCTGTGCTAATGATGTAAATCTACTGGTTGATAATATAGATACCACAAGGAGAAACACACAGACTTTAATTTTCACTGGTAAGGAGGTTTGGTCTAGAAGTAAACACAGAGAAAACTAAGTATATGTTGCTGTCTGGTCACCAGAATGCAGGGCAAAATCATTGTATAAAGGTAGCTAACAGATGTTCTGAAAATGTGGCACAGTTCAGATATTTACTAATGACAGTATGAGTATGAGGGGTGAACCATATAAACCAGCCCTCGCACTGCAACCTTCAATGATCTGTTGTGCTTCCCCTTTGGATTAACCCCTTATTAATCCTACACTTCAAATGAAATGTAGGACTTTATTTATGGGGTCACTTGGTCTCATGAAGAATTGACCCAGGACCTTGTGTCTCCTCATCTGCGGTCTAAAAACATAAAAATTAGAATGTACAGAACTGTAATTTTGCCTGTGGTTCTGTATGGGTGTGAAACTTGGTCTCTGACAGTAAGGGAGGAATACAGTCTGAGGGTGTTTGAGAACAGGGTGCTGAGGAGAATATTTGGACCAAAGAAAGATGAAGTGATGTGAGGTTGGGGGAAACTGTATAATGAGGAGCTTCATGACTTGCACCTTTTGCCAAGTTTAATTAGAATGATAACATCAAGGAATATGAGATTGGCAGGGCATGTAGCACAAATAGGTGAGATGCTGAATGCATGTAGGCTATTGATGGGAAGATCAGAAGGAAAGAGACTGCTAGGAAACCCAATATGTAAGTGGGTGAATATTATTAATATGGATCTTAGAGAGATAGGATGGGGTGATATGGTCTCGATTGATCTAGCTCAGGATAGGGACTAGTGGAGGAGTCTTGTGAACACAGTAATGAACCTTTGGCTTCCATAAAATGTTGCGAAATTCTTGAGTAGATACACAGCAGGCAGCTTCTCAAGAGGGGCTCATCTCCCTGGAATTAGTTCCCAGCTTTATCTTACACCTTTGTCAGTATGTGACAAATTGATCAAAGTCTTTATGCTGTCTAGTGTGTCTCTCTAGATGGGGTTTGGTAAATGCCAGGCCTCCGAACATGGTCAGTGTGGTTCAGGATAGGGGTTGTCTCTGAATACAGGGTTGTGTCACACTAAAATGGCCTGGAACACAGTCAATTCCACAGAAATGTGGTCATTTAAAGGAGTGATCTTTTAGAGCAGTTACACTATATGTAATGTTAGCATATCAGCAGTATCATCGTTTGTTTTCATGTTATAATCCATTTTTGTTATATCATGGTTCCACTGCATTTTTGAGGACAGGTTTTCTTGCTTTTTGTCTATGTATAGAAATTCATGTGATAGTACCTTGAAATAGGCCTTGATTGTTACCTTTCCATCATGTTTAGTTCATACTGGATATGATTATGATGTCATTTGTTTTCTTCGAAATGATCACCATGGTTGATGAGATAAGGTAAATTCCCTATACTTAACTAATTAAGCACTATACCATGAAGGCGTGAGGGGGAGTGGATGTAGAGATCCACGTTTTCTTGATATTGGCATTAGTTGGAGGCAAGTGGTCAGCTTCACGCCCTTGCCGCTTTACCCCCGGAAAAGCCCCCCTGGTAGCCATTGGATAGACTGGGTGAGCCCCAGAACTGCAGTGGAGAAGAGAAAAAATTCTTGACCCTATCAGGACTTGAGCTCAGACCCCTCTGTCATCCATCCCATAGCCAGTCATTATACTGATTGTGCTATCCCAGACTCATCTGTTACAGTAAGGGTTCATAAACTCATGTTTGTTATGGCTGATTTCTCATTAAAGTGTGTACTCTTAACAGTTTCTATTGTACTGTACATGCAGGCTGTCCTAGAGAATGATGAAATCCTGGCTGAGAGAGTTGTGAAACTGATGCAGGACTTGCTGCGACTGGTGCAGAACTTGGCTGAACATTCGAGCTCCACAGCCCCTGCTCTGGCTACGCACTGTATTAGTCCCTTGCTTGAAGGACTGGTTATGGGTCCGTATGCTCTCCCACCTGCCGTTCTTGCTGCTCCTACGTACTACGTGGGCACGGCCCAACTCATGACGGGAACTCCAGCTCTGCTTTTGCTGGAGGTGATGGTATCTCGCCCTCTTCTTCACCTTGCAACATCACATACACGGCGAGTTTACTGTTCATTGTGCATGGCTGCTATTCTGACCAGAAAAAAAGGTTCTTTTTTGAGCAGTTGAGCGACTGCCAGTTGTCAGGAGCAACTCTATTCAGCAGAGTTATAGTTAGGCCACATAAGTTTGAAAGAGTGACCACTTCATATCCAACGTCCAGTGTACTTCCCCATATTCCCCTCCGGTATAGCCCTTTTTATTATTATTATTATTATTATTATTATTAATATTAAACTGTTGCTAGTTATAACTCCATGATTACCTATGCTGGTGACAAGTGCTTTGGGCTGGTTGGCCCAGGCCAGTGTAGGCTGGAGGGGAATACAGCAGTAGACAAAAGAGGAGGAATCCTCAGATGCCATCATGGCCTCAATCTGATTAGTGTAAACCTGGAAGTTTTATGTTAAGTATCTTCTTTGCTAAGTAACCTGTTGGTATTACAGATCCAGTGGTGTTGGATTTTTTATTTAATTTTTGTGAATCTTATCTGTAACTACTACTGTTGCAAGTACATCATGTCACCAACTTGGTTTCCTCCCTAGAACTTTTGTGCAAACAAGTAAACTGAATTACTTTCACTGTCACTTTTTAGAGAACAGTGTTCCTGAACTTTTTTCATTTAACATATCTCTTGGTCCCAGAGTGAAAATTTATGGATCCCTTTGTTTTGGAGAGAAATTTAACTTACTTTCAGTTCCAGCTTAATTATTTCATATGTCATGTCACCAGGCATTAAACGCAACACTGCACAGTGGAACCCTGTTTAATCTTCTTCAGTTTCAAGATTTTTCCTCATTTCACATTCAGTTTCAGTGATCCCAAGCATTAATACCAGTGTTAAATTACCTTAATTTAGGATTTAGAATTGTTGTTACAGAACAAATGTAATTACAATTTCAGTACAGTTTTTGAAAAACAGGCTTTGAAATTTTGACCCAGTGAATTGTTCCTAATTTTGGATGCTCCATGGGTTCAATTTGTAACATATTTTCTTGTACATGGACTCTTTGTTGCATATGATTTTGGCAAATGCTATTTTATTTTAATTCTTGTCTAATTTTGGATTGATTTCAATTAATAGCACTCATTCTAATTCAGACTGCTTACTGGTCAGTTGATAGAGACAGGAATTAAGGGGAGGAGGGGTAGAGTATTGTGTGGGTTGTATGCAGGGAATGCAGAAGGCAAAATCTGGCATGGCTATGCAGCCACTTCTGCAAATCTTTGAGGTGATAAGGAACCTTAAGTACATTATTTCCTTATATTCAATTTATGTTAACCTTTAACATATGAACTTTTAAATTGCCGGGAGCCCTCTGCGGCAGGTATTTGAATCACCCTAATTAATTAACATTGCAAACTTTCAGAAAAAGGTACGTATTTTCCGTTCTATGCAAAATAGAAATACAAACTAAAAACAGCCTGAAAGACAATAAAATTTTACACATATACACAAAAGAGCAATTTTTACAAATGAAAATTAACTGTGATTATTTTTCCATGAAATGCAAAATATAATCTTTATTATATATGTTATGAAATTCCAAAGTACTTACCCATTGTTTTTTCTTGAACCTTGAATCATGGTGATATTGTAAATATAATCACACTATATACAATAATATTTTGTTCACACTGTACACGAGTTTGAACTGTGTCACTTCACAGTTTACTATACACTCTGACAGGCGTGGCACTTCTCAAAGCAATCCACCTCACAAAGTGCAACATCACACTCTTTACAATAGAAGAGCGTGCTCTTGCTATTCTTATTTAGTGAAACAGACGATATCTTTGTTTCCCTTTGCTTGGCCAGTATTGTGAATGTTTCACCTCCAGTCGACTCAGTTGGGCCCGAGATAACCTTGGCGTCCCCTGAGAGATGCCACTGACCGTGATATTCGCCTTGTGCGATTGAAGAATCATCTTGGGGGAGGCAGAATCGAATAAATTATGGTGATTGACAAAGCGACACTCTCGCCTATTAGTAATACTCGCAAAATAGTGATGCAAAGTAATTATAATACTAGTCGAAAAGAGTACTAGTCCAACACTGATAGAGAAAGTCGCAGTGGCGAAGATGCCATTTACTCACAAACCAATACTGGCACAGTGGGTTTATACCTCTTCCAAGACACAAAATAAAAATGATATACAAAGAAATATGACAGTCTGACACTGAATATTTAACTGATAATCGGCCACTGAAAACCAATCCTTGAATGTGTCACACTTCCTTGAAGGCTCTGGAAGCACTCTTCTGCAAACACCAATGAATATTTCCTCCTCAGTTCTCCAAACAAAGCTCGGCTATATTTGGCTGACCAGGTCATAAACAGTCATATCTAAACATAAATAGTATCGAAACCAGTACCGTGATAAACGTTATCATTGTTCAGAGCTAAGGAATGAACCACTAATATGACATTATTATTATTATTATTATTATTATTGGAGGGGGTGGGTTTCCCCATGCACTACGGCCAGTTGATCCATTGTGCGTCCCCCTTTAATTTCTACTGTCCCCATGCCCTTCCAGTACTGGTGCTCGCTATCAGCTCCGTTCTGCCAGCGAGGTCAGCCCTCTGTGGCAGTGGTACCCGATACTTCCCCATCTACCGCAGGAATTGGAAACTACTTGGGCGGGAAAATTTGCCTAATTTTGCTCAGAGGTCTCCTAGAGACTAATATGACCTTATTGGGTTTGTTTTGGTTTCAAACCCAAGGTCAAACTGTCAGCACTCCTGAAGAGCACAGTGTCCTGTATATATAAAATATTCGGCCAATTCGAGGTGCTGCTTGCTGCATATATATATAACATTCGGCCGTTAAAGGTTAATGTACCGTCTGTGACTTTTTCTTAGAACACAATTCTCACCTAAATTGAGGCGTATTCATGCGTCATTTTCCAGTGCTGGTACATCCAGAGTATCGTATTTATTTTTTTATTTTTAACCAGTGCTCCATTTGCAAGAGTTGATCTCCTGGCAGTGAAGGTAAGGTAAGTCTTCTGGGATTGACGCCGCGACGCCGCATAGTTTCGAAGGTAGGCACCAACATTCTGGAGGAAACTGCTGCCTCCTTTTTCAGGGTAGAATAGTTGGTCTACCAAACTACACAGTGTCACATCCCAGAAGACTGTGATTTAATACGAGTTGTTGATGTAGTGGAACAGCATTACAGTGGATGGAAGTAAGATACAAAGAAATTGCAAATATTTTAAATTTTTTAACAACCCAAAGCAACTTTACGTTATAATAATTTTTCCACTATTACATGCATACACAGTCTGTCCAGGATCCTTTAGGATTCATTTTTTTAAAAAATCACTGTGTCATGTGTTCTGACCTTGAATGTAACAGTACTGTTCTGACACTCATCAGAAAATGGCAGTTGAACAGTGAGCCAACATCAAATTTTGTTTGAAGTTAGGCAAAACAGCTGAAGAAGCATACAAAATGATGAAAAGTGTGTACGGTAGTGATTGTTTGAGTCACTCAAACATTTTTCGAAGGTATGCTGTATTTTGTGAGAGTAGAGAGGACATTGAAGATGCCCCACATCCATCAAAGCCGAGAACAAGTCGCACTGAAGAAAATCTAAAAAAAGTGACTTGGTCGCTCCTCCACGACAATGTCCCACCCCACAAATCAAAGCTCATATGCAATTTTTTGGCCAGAAAAGGGATCACAGTCCTTGATCATCCTCCGTATTTGCAAGATTTCTGGTTGTTCCCAAAAGTTAAGTTGGCAATGAAAGGAGACCGTCACGACACCATCCAGGACATCCAAAGGGAATGTACCGCAGTTTCAAATACGATTCCACAAAATGAGTGCAGTGACAGTTTTCAAAAACTTTTCAATCGATTCCAGTTATGTATGAATTCAGAAGGAGACTATTTTGAATAAAAAGAGTGAAATTTTGAAAATAATTCACGTCTTGTATTTTTAATGAACACAGTCCTAACAGAACCTGGGCACACTGTGTACTTGTAAAATATAATAATATATTTTTACTGAAGTCTGGAAACTGGGGCTGACAATTCTTCAGTGTTAGATATTCTTCTGCCTGCTGTCTTACAGTCCAGAATATAAACGGTAGAAGAGTAGTGATTGATCTGTAATTATTGTGATGCCATCTTCTTTGTTTTCTTTTGTACACAATCATTCTTTTTATGTTCTATAGTAAGAACAAGAAGCTCCAAGCAGAACCAACAAAACCTGATTTCCCATTGCATAGATTTATAATCCTACAGATCTGATAATGTATTTTTGTCATGTTGTTATTTTATTTTATTTTTGTGAATAACTTATGTGTCTGTATTAAGTTTTGTCATATTCCTCCAAGTTGTACATTCACCGTATTTGTAATCATTGTCTTACAAACATTATTTCATACAGAAAACCCAGGTGTGGTTGTGATCTATTTCTGTATCACATATCACATGCCTAGCATCAGTGGTGCATTAGTTATCGATATCAGACCCGAAACTACAGAAAATGTTCACAGTGCCATAATGGTATTATTTTATGTCCTACAGAAGAAAATTACCATAATAACAGTCATATACATTTAAAAGTATGTTACCATACATCAAATCAGATTCCTGTATTAACCCTTACATGCCACAGGCCATTTGGATTAGCTTGGCCTGCTTGCATTAAAACTACCACAGCCAAAGAGATGACCTTGATGTTAACCCCTCAACCTGGTATCCCACATACATCCTTGCTAGGCTGTGTGGTTCACTGCCATCTAAACTCCACTGCAGTGCACATACAGTAGGTGTGTAGATGCCAGCTTGAGGGGTTAATCATATAGTACAGTATTGATGTTAGTCAGTTGCATCACATGTGATATACTGATGTTCAGAGAAAAACAGCGTTTTCCATCATGTGCACTTTAGGTTGTTTCAAGATAATCTTTGAAAGTATTGTGGGTTTTTCTGTATAACTGCATTCACTCCCAAGCAACCTTGCCATTTCTGGTAGGTATTTTAATGGTGGGACATGGCAGACAGATTAAATATCGCTAATGTAGCTTCCCACATCATGGTTCATGTGTGTGATCCTTTTGGCAAGGGGAAATATACACACAAGCCGCATGATAACCTCATGAGCCCAGTTTCTTTCTTTAAGGCACTATGCTGCAAGTTGGAAGGTCGTGGTTTCGATTCCTGGTGAGGTCATTGGATTTTTCAATTTACCTAACCCTTCTAGCCACACTGGCCCTGGGCTAAACTCAGCCTCTAACAGAAATGGGTACCAGGTTTCTTCTTGGAGTTAAGTGGCAGCTGGCATATAAGGCTAACAACCTCACTGCCATCTGTGAGCCAGTTGTGTAGAAAATTTGGGAGCCTCAGTGTCCCACAGTTCCATGGGCCTCCGTGTCCTATTGCAAGGATAGCTTTACCATACAAAAGCAAAATAGGCTAAAAATTTAGAAGTATAGAATGTGTACTGTGTCTTTGCAGATATGTCCCACTGCTCAAGGCCATCTTGGATGTTGGCGTAAGTCACCACAATGTTCTGGAGTTCATGCACTCTGTGATGAAACAGCTGGAAACAGGTGCAAATACATATTGTGCCCTGAGCAGTGCTGAGAAGGCATCGCTGTGTATTGTGTGGAGTAACATCGCATCTGCTCTTATCAAGTACCTGAAAGACAGCAACAGTGTGAATCAAGGAAATGAGAGGCATCATGATCTGAGCTGCTTTTATCTAGTTTTGCTCTTCCCTTTTTATCACTTCTACAGCATCGCCTATAAGCAGGTTTGTAGTCGACAGAGCAGTACTATTAGTTAATCAGTCTTCTGACTCAAGGCTCCATGTTCCAGGGCTGCTCCTACTCAGAACTGGCGAACTGTCGTGGGTTAATAAGGTCCAGTCAGAATCTGTGGCAGGACAACCTGCAAGTAACCATCTCTTGAAAAGATACCTAAAGAAATTGAGATTATGAAGAGTACCATCTTCTGGGATGGAATGTTGTGCAGTCCATTAAAGGTCAAGCAACGTTTTGGAGAAACATATCACTTCCCATCTTCAGCCTCAAATAAGCCAAGCAAGAAAGAGTGTGAAGGCTCTAAAATCTCTTTCATTATAATCTTCCCATCTGTGTCTTTGTTCTCCTAGTGGTTTCTTTCTCATTCTGGCTTTACCACCAAAACTTATATAATTTTTAAGGCAGAGGGGCTGCTGATGGGATAGACAATAGAGATGCACGTTAGGTCATTATTGGTCTTCAATGCTTACCACTTTATTTTGCATTTGTAATTACAGTTGATCCTTGACCATCTGATGGTAGTTCTCAGTTTTAACTTCGTCTGTGTCCTTGTTTCAGCCTGATCCTTTTTCTCTTGGAGGTATTTTCACATTCACAAGTTCATACCGTTGGTGCGTTCTGTTTCTCTCCCTTGAGCTAACCACTTCTCACTGGTCTTCCAGTACTCTGAATTCTGTATTCTGAATAACTTCTTTCTAGGAAAGATATATAATGGGACAGTATACACAATGGTAATTCTGAAAGAGACAAAATAGACATTACTGTGTCAGCATTTGTTTTTAGTAGCTGTAGGTGGTAACGGTTCATGTTTTGACCCTTTTCTTGAGTCATCTTCATGCATACAAGAATACTTGTGGTAGTACTTGAATTGTGTCATTGATCAATAGGAATTCATATTGTGTTTGTATGACTTTTTATACTAACAAATACACTCTAATTTAAATATAGTTCAAATATAGTTATAACTTGACATTAAAAGGATTAAAATTAAGATTAGTGTTAGAATTAGAATTAAAATGGTGATTAAGGTATTCATAACTAATGTTATAGTTCTTATTTAAGAGTTTGTGACCACTACATATCCGTATAAAAACACCACCATGGGAAACTTTATGTATACACAACTTCAAATTTAAATATCCAGGTCCACGTATAAACAGCCTGAGAGTGATACCCAGAATAACAAGTATAGCCTTCACATGATAATAGGTAGGTCAAAAATTAACACGACCCAGATTCTGAGGAATCCTAGGATGCAGTTACCCCATGTCACAAATGTCACTACCACAGGGGAACAACCTACAACACATATTCGGATATGTAGCTGTCACAAAGTCATAAATAAGAATTATAATATTAATTATAAATGCCTTAATTGCCATTTTAATTATAATTTTAATTTTTATCCTTTTACTGTCAAGTTTTAACCCTTTGACGTGGTGATTTAAATTCCGCGGCCGCGGCTCCTGCGGTAATATATTCAGCCGGCCATTTAAATTTTGCTCGAAAATTATTTATTCATCATTGTTCTTAAATTCTATGAGATAGGAACATGAAACTTTCACTAAAATGATCTTAAATTGTGGTTTTATAACCTTACCTTATAATATGGGAGCCCTGTATCTCGGCCATGGGTGCAGGTTGTTTAGTATTTGAGCAGTGAATGGTACGCCTTGAAGGATGAAACTTTCACTAAAATGATCTTAAAAGATGGTTTTATAACCTTGCCTTATAATATGAGCACCCGGTATCTCGGTGGTGGTTCAGAATTTGAGCGGAGTGTTACACGCATTGAAGCATTCTACTATAGACAGCGCTGACTCACATCACCATACCAGTACTGCGTATCTCTCATTTGGCTATTTTTTCCGTAAACAAAACATCTTCTGTGAGGCCCTGCCTTCTTCCCCGTGGGGGGAATATAAGAAGAAATGTCTCTCCGTGAGTCGTATCGCTACCCAGATTAGCTGCAGTAAATTCGACCTTCATGTTATCATAACAAGTGTTGGTGCTTCTGCGTTTCATTTTCCATCCATTTTGGCGGCATAAGACGTCGTAGGGGTGACCACAGAATTCATGAAGTTATT